TGAGCATTCAAAGAGCACCTGCTATATGTGAAGTGTTCTGCTCAGGCAAAGAGGCCACAGACCTTATTTAGATTTCACCAGTTTTTGCGTGCAAGCTTGTGAATGTGTGTGTATGTGTGCACGTGCAAGTGTGTGTTTGTGTGTAGTTCTATGCAATTTTATCACATGTATGTATACCTTTGTGTAACTACCATTAAGATTTCTCCTCTATTATCCTTTAAGTCACTCCACACACATACCCCTCTCCCCACCACCCTTCACCCCATTCCTAACTCCTAGCAACGACTAATTTGTTCTCTATCTCTGTTGGGGTTTTTTTTTTTAATTTTGAGAATACCACATAAAATTTTGAGACTACTACACTAAATCATAAGCGTGCAACTTGTGAGACTTTTTTTTCACTCCGTATAATATCCTTGACATCCAACTAAGTTGTTCCATGTACTAATACTTTGTTTCTTTTTATTGCTGTGTGATATTCTATTGTGCAGATGTATCACAGTTTGCTTAAGCAGTTAGCACCGAAGAACACTTTATCATTTCCAGTTTGGAGCTGTTACAAATAAAGCTGGATTTCGAGTAGTCATGTTTTCATTTCTCTGGGATAAATGTCCAACAGTCCAACTGCTGGGTTATATGGTAAGTGTATGTTTAATTTTATAAGAAACTGCTAAAGTGTTCTCCAGAGTGGCTGTGCCATTTTACTTTCCCATCAGCAATATATGCAATATCCAGTTTCTCTGCATCCTCATCAGCATTTTGTATTGTTATTATTTTTTTTTAGCTCTACTAATAAGTATAGTGATACCTCATTGTGGTTTTAATTTGCTTTTCCCTAATGGTTAATGATACTGAATATCTTTTCATGTGCTTATTTTCCATCTGTATACTCTCTTTGGTAAAATGTCTGTGTTTTTGTCCGTTTTCTAACTGGAATATTTGTTTGTTTTACTATTGTTTTGAAAGTTCTTAATATGTTCTAGATATAAATCCTTTGCGAGATGTGTGCTTTGCAAATAATTTCTCTAAGACTGCCATTTCCTTGTTCATCTTTTTTTCTTTTTTTTTTTGCGGTACGCGGGCCTCTCACTGCTGTGGCCTCTCCCGTTGCGGAGCACAGGCTCCGGACGTGCAGGCTCAGCGGCCATGGCTCACGGGCCCAGCCGCTCCGCGGCATGTGGGATCCTCCCAGACCGGGGCACGAACCCGTGTACCCGGCATCGGCAGGCAGACTCTCAACCACTGCACCACCAGGGAAGCCCTCCTTGTTCATCTTAACAGAGTGTTTCTCAGAGAAAAAGTTTTAATTTTGATTAAGTCCAATTTATCAGTTTTCATTTTTATGGACTATGCTTTGGGTGTCATATATAAGCACTCTTCGCCTAGTCTTGCCCTGAAGATTTTCTCTTATGTTTTCTTTTGAAAGTTATATAGTTTTACTGTTTATATTTAAGTCTATGATCTATTTTGAGTTAATTCTTGTATAATATAAGGTGTGTATAAGCTATCTAAAATTAATAAATCAGTATTTTTTCCAGATACTGGTGTAGAAGGGGCCTTAAATTATATAATTTTATTTACTTCTTGTGTTTCGTGCCATTGTCGTCATATTTTAACTCTACGTATATTTTAAGCCAAAAAGGCATTGTTACTACTTTTAATATTTTTATCCTTTCTAGTGTGATTCATTTCTTTTTGCATGCCTCTGTTTCCTTTTGGAGTCATTTTCTTTCTGTTTGGATAGCTTTCTTCTTCAGTATTTATTTTACTGCTGGTTTTAAATTATCTCAGTTTTTATCTGAAAATATGTTTAATTTTTCTTCATTTTAAAAGATTTTTGTTGAACATAGTATTATAAATTGGCAATAATTCTCTTTTAGCATTTTAAAAAATATATCCATCTATTGTCTTCTGACTTCCATAGTTTCTGTTGAAAGGTCCGCCTGTCAATCTTATTGTTGCTCCTTTGAAAGTAACGTAACTTTTTTCTCTGGCTACTTTTGAGGTTTTTCAGCACTTTTGTTATAATGAATCTAGTTGTGATTTTCTTTCTATTTATCCTTCTTGGGGTTTGTAAAACATTTTGAATCTGTGGTTTAATATTTTTTGTCACCCTGAAAAATTCTCAGCAGCTATCTCTGATATTATTTCTGCCCCAATATCCTTCTCCTCTTCTTCTAGAACTCCAATTTACGTTAGGAATTTTTCATCAGATCTCAAATGTCCCAAGTTGTTTTCTATATTTTTCCATCACTTTTTCTCTCTGAGCTTCAGTATGTATGTTTTCTACAGTTTTCTAGTTCATTAAACCTTTCTCCTGCTCATAAACCAATCTACTAATTTCTTAATTTCAGTTACTGTATTTTTGTCCTAAAATTTCCATTTGATTCATTAATATAGATTCTAGTTTTCTAAAGACACTCTTCACCTTTTTATCTATTTTTGAGCATATTAATCACAATTATCTTAAGCCAATATTCAGTAACTCCAATATATGGATAATCTGTGGGTCTGCATTTATTTAGTGATTCTTTGTTTCTTTGTTTAGTTTAGTTTACCATCATTTGGTCTTATCTCTGGCATAATTGCTAATTTTTTTTTTTTTTTTTTTTTTTTTTACTGATTTCTGGCCACTGTGCATGAAAACTTGTAGAGGCTTTTGATGATATTGTCTTCCTCCAGAGCATATTTAATTTTCTTTTGTTAAGCAGTTAAATATAGGCAGGTGACCTTCCTCCAAACAGGGATTTAAGTGTGTTTCAGGCTGAATTTTAGGCTTTGTGTAAGCTAGGCTATTTATATTTTCCCTCACACATAGGGTATCTCAAAGCCCCTCCTTGATAGGACCTCAACTTCTTTTTTTTGTCCCCTCCACTATGAGATTCCTGAAATCACTGTTCAGCTTTTTAATCTGTTAGCAGTTATTTTATACTTGTTTTATGGCCACTGGCCCTGAGCATGCATAGTTTAGTAATTAGAAAAATCTTCAAATAATGAGCAGACTATCAGGCTCATTTTTTTTCATGATTTCTATCTTTCTGGAAGCTTGGTCCCTCAAGTCTGGATGCCTTAGAAGGCCTGACCTTTAATTTTTGTCTCCTCAGTAGTGAGAAGCAAGCTTTAGGCTGCTTCTCTCCACTCTGCCTCTATTACTTTCACTGAGATTTTGGCAATTTCCCTAAAGGAGAAAAAATCTGAGTTATATGTAGAGCTCACTTCAATGCATTTTTCTCCTCACTGGGATTGGGTCCCTCAAATCCTCGTTGTCTTGGTTGATGTCTTCAAATAGTTAATTTTTGGAGGGGTGTTATTTTACCCACTTTTATAGTTAAATGAATCTTGTCAATGGCCTAGTGCCAACAAAGTTAGAAAAATATTCAGGGCTCTGCTGCCAGTCCAATAATTCTTATCAAGAGGCCAAGATTTGTCTCCATAATGGCCAGGAAGGTCATTTTTTTAGGTTTTTTGAGCAAGTAGATTCAGTACTCAATGATAGACCTGGGATTCATAGAAACAACTGCTGGGTAAACCTAGCTGTCATATATACCGAAAAGGTAACCTTTGGTGAATCAGGTATGAACCAATTTGGAGGTAATTTCTTACCGTGTTACATGCTCCTCTGCTAGGATTGTTTTTCATGAGGATAATTCAAGATACTCAAACTCACTGCTAAATGAATTATTGGAATATAACCTTCTAGCCCACTTGTTGCTACTTTGAAGACTAGAATGACTCACATTAGCTTTCATCTGGAAAGCTCCACTCATCTCACAAATTTCTGACTTCTAATATACTGAGAACTGAAAATACAAAATTTAGTGATAAAAGGACTGCAGAGCCTTAAAACTGTATCAGATACTATAGAGCCAATGAAATCCAGCGTAATAACAAAGCATTCAGTTTGGATCACCACAGGTTTAACTTTTCATTGTCTCCTCCTTTGCTTGAGATATATAACCCTTCTGGATGTTGACCTGATTCACTACAAGGATTTTTATGTTCTGGTTTCCTCTTGAACAGCCACAACATTTTTTCACCTATTGCTAACCTACTGCGCATCATCTTCCTTCCCCAATTGTTTGGACACTTGTTCATATTTTATTTGATTATCATTTCAATACTCTGGACTCCACTTCACAATGACCCATCATACATGGGTTTGACATATACAGTATTATGTGATGTTTATTCAGTTTATTTCTCTCTGCTTTGTATTTGACTACCAAGAAGATTAATTTTGCATAATCTCTTTTAAATCACTCATAAAATGGTTTCTGGTCTCTTTCAAGCATTCTCTTTCCAACATGAAAAATTCCTCTCAATTATGGTAATTCAGTTTTAAAGTAAGTTTTGGTAGAATCCTATACAAGACTCTTTGAAAGTATATACAAATTATAATGAATAATTTTACTCTTCACCCACATAAACTGATTTAATGACTCTATTGATTGGTCAGTAATATTTCCTTTATAATAATGATAAGATATTGTAATAAAAGGAATTATCTTTCTTAAGCATGCAGTAGTTCCACTCAGTATTAAGGTGTCACCTTTTTCCTAGGTAAGCAGACAAGCTCCCCACCTGTTTTAATTTCCCAGAATCTCCTCAGGATTCCAATCCATGCAAGAAGCCCAGCAATCTTCTGGCTCAGTGTTTACTGCAAACCAGGTTTCATAGTCTAGCCACCTTCTTGCTAGTTTCCCCCTTGAGGCTCTCCAAGACATAAAATGGATCTTATTCCATGTCAGCAATTTATTAACATCTAGATTATAGATTCGGTCTAGGACATTCTGAGTTTTTGCCACTGTTTGCTCTAATACATCTTACCTGTCTGCACTGAAACATTTTGAGAGATTCTCCCAAAAGCTATTCTCAGCCCAAAGCAGCTAATTCATTAAGTAAATTTATTTTTCTCTCTGTTTTTTCCCCAAATGCACTTTCATGGATTCCCTTCCAATCTCCTCATTTTTCCTACTATAGTTGGTCTTCACTTTACTTACCCAGGTGACTGATGGCTTCCTTGTCCCAAGGCCAGGTGGCAGCACCTGCAAGGTCTTCCCGCACTGAGCTGGCAAAGTAGACGTTGAGGAAGTGAGTGCTGTTGAGCTGCAGTGCCTCTTTCAGCTCCTTCACACTCATGTACGCCCTGGAGAGCATGTAAGAGGAGGAAATGTCACACCAAAGGGTCAGTCCATAGAGAACAGTAGAAGCAGACCTAATCAGACTCTGACTCTCCCAACCAGCATTGCTTTTTAGAGGAGAGGAGCAGAGAGGGCAAGACCAGGTATTACGAAGCTCTCAAAAATGCACTAATACACATTTAGGATATTTATTCCAAGATAAATAATATCCTACCTTTTTAGCACCACAATATTTATACGGATAGTCAGTATTTGACATCATACTCAATTCTGCACTCTACACCCAGATTATTTCTTCAAGATAAATCCAGTAATACCCTTAACTCTATGCCCTGAGAGTTATCCCCACCCCCACCCCAGCCCACGGTGAAGAAGGCCTTTCAACTCTCAGTCCCTGGTTCTTTCCATCACACTGCATGATCATTATTATGATAAGAAGACCGATTGAATCTCTATTTCAGTATATGCTTGCTTCAGGCATATTTTTAAAGGTAAATAGTGGCCAGAAAATATAAAGTAAAACAGGTAAAAAAGAGATGAGTTATAGGTAGGAGAGGATATCATAAGCTACTGCAAAGAATGTTAATTTTATATATATTTCTCTTTCTAGTACCTTAATCCATAGACTCTCTACCCCTACTCCGGCTACCTTGTGATACTCACCAAGTATCTCTATTGGTGGCCTTCAAAGCACTAGGTAATATTATGTTTGAACTTATTCACAGACTTAAAGGTCTATTAAAAACACATGCCCCACGGCCCATTAAAAAAGGGAAACAAGCATTTGATCTTTTTTTAAGCTCATATATAGTCAAAGACCTTCATCTTCCTGGCATCAGTGAATCTTAAAACTTTACTATGGGCAAACAGAGCCTCATCATACTCAATGAAGAGCTATTTTAAGAAAGAACAACTAAACCAGAACCCAGTGGCCCCTTGGATTCACTGGATGCTTCCTACAGTGGCCATGGGAATGCCACTCCAAAGATAGGAATGATCCTATCACAGCTTCAACTGTGCAGACAGCTCTCTCAACACAGTTGAAATTTCCTTTATAGATTCACGCTTTATTCTTGCTATTCTGGTAGACAAGCTGCAGACACTGAAATCTCTCAACCCAGAAGCTCAGGCTAGAAGAGCATGACCCTTCTTCTTCCGTTCACTCTGCCTCCCAACTACACTGTTGATGCCATCTATTTAATCCACATGTAGGATATACTGGCAAGGAGTACTCAAGAAATAGAGATCCCAAAGGAGACTGTGTTTATGTTCTTTGGCACAGAACCAAAAAGGGGAATAAAAGTAAAGAAACACAAAAAGATTTTGCTTTAGAACCAAATATGCTTGAGAGAATGGGGATTTTAAAATATTCTTTCTTATTGACTTATAATATCTTGGAAAAGTAATTCTCATCCCCAATAAATCATCCAGATTTCATGAAGTGGTGTCAGATGTGATCAGAGGGATATTCCTTCTGATACTTTCCTGGAGTGTTTTTTGAACTGTTGCCTGGTTTTCCCTGGACATTAGTCACATTCCCTTTCCTTTTCTCCTTTATTAAAAATAATTACAATTTCCTGTATTGATAAATTGATGGTTTGGAGTTATGATGACATCAAGTAACTCTTCAACACGGAGGTGGTCTAATTGGTCAGATAGAAGGAGAAGAGGGAGGGTGGATGGGAGGAGAGAGAGAAAGAAGAAAGAAAAGGGAAAAAAGAAACAAATAGAAAATAAGAGAAAGAAATAAGGGCAGAGAGGATCAGTGATAGCCTATGTACAGCTCAGGGTACCAAGAAAGAAAATCTACACCCTCTGTTCCTATTCCAGAGTTCCCATTAAAATTAGGAATTGGTAACTTGACAGTTTTCTCTCTTTCCTCCCCCCTCACTTTCCCCAAATACCCCTGTTCCTGGCATGGTTTACTTGGGCTATCTGTGTGTTCCTGGCTTCTCTGTCTGCCACTTACCAGTCTTGGCCATCATCCTTCTATCCTCCCTCAACCCAGCAGTTCCACTAATTTCCCTTGAGCCACCCTCCAAGAGGCCTCTTCCTCCACTACCAGCTCATTAGCTGATTCTACTCATCTCCCATTTCTTCGTTGCCCATTCCACTCTCCAGCCATAAATTACCCTTCCAGATGAGAGTGTTTATGTCATACTTGTGGAAAACTGGGTACAGCCACTCTAATTCCTGCACTCCATAGAGATATAGATAGAAGTTGGCAAGTATAAGGGATAAAATACATTTTTAAAAGCTAGAGACAGTTGGAAACAGTCACTAATTGAATTGATACAGGAACGCTTTATTTTGTTGAAGACAGATTTTTGTCCAGATTATTCCATAAACCAAAAAAGGGCAAAGTGTAGACAGCAGGGTGTCCAGTTTGCATGTAGACTGCCTTGCCTATTATAACACATGTACGCCATTTCAGAATTTAATCAGAGCTAATTAAGATAAACGTCTTAGCTTCTCCACTAATGTGACCAGAGCCTGGCTCAGACCTAGGGTGGAGAAAATGGCCATTATTCTAAAATTCAGAGCTTAACATCTTGCTTCAGAAATGATTTATTAAGAGATAAACTTGTCATCCAACCAAAAGAACTTAATTGTTCAAAGAAGGGTGAAACGACATACATAACTTTCATAAAAAGCATGGGACCGTGAACTGACCAGAACTATGTATGAAGAGAGGTGAACTGCATTGATCTACTTAATTTCTGCCAGGATCTCCCTTTACTCATCCTCTCCACATTCTAGACTGAGATACTCACCATGAACTTCTCCCTGAGGACTCAGACAGACCAAAGAGAAGCTGCACCTTGACCTTTATAAAAAATTTTCTCAAAAACAAGCTTTCCTTGAGGCTGACATATCAAGTTGTTCTGCCCATTGCCTGAGTCTATTATTTCTGACATGCCTCCTGGAAGAATGCGCAGCTGCCTCACTATTTTATCACTGTGACCTACTGGTTTGGGATTAAACATTGCCTGGTGTCCAGCCCACCACATTCCTTTGTCCCCCAGATGATTTCTGTTGGGATCCCTTGACCGCTGACCCCTAGCCACACTCTAGTATCTAAGTGTCCATGCAAGCCCCACTCTTGCTTAGTTTCTGACTAAGTAAAAGTGAAAGGATATAAAAATAATGCCTCTTGTGCTCTAGTTTAATAGTCAGTTGAATAACTCCTTTATAGACTGTTAGAAATGATTCAGGCCAGAAAGAAGAAAAAGATCCTGAGCTGTCTGAAGGAAGTTGAGTCAGCATCAAAAATTCGCATGTTAAAAAACAAGACATACAAGACGCATGCATGTATGCCCTGAGATTGGGACCCAGGGCCCTGCTTCCCACAGTCAGACCAAGCTCCCTCCAGAGGAAGATCCTGACTGCACTCCACAGGGGTAAGGCAGCCTCCATTAGAACAAAACCAGATGCTCCCAAGGACCCTCAGCCAATTCCCATCACAGAAATGACCGGTGCCAAATCTGGGATATTTGGGTTTGGTTAAATCTAAACCTTCTTGTCATTACTGTACACCATGGTTCTTGACCCAAAATACACAGAAGGGTTCCCTCTGCCACCCCTGTCTGCTATCCACTCTGCCAACTATGCTTCCTCCTCTGGGTGAATATCCCCTTTGACCTACTCCCCCAGTCCTTGGACGGTGCTCGCACCATGGGGCTTACAGGTCCTCAGAGTACCAACTAGCATCCTCCCAGCTGCCTAGTGCCACTCTGAAAACTTAGTGTTTTTTTGCGGTATGTGGGCCTCTCACTGCTGTGGCCTCTCCCATTGCGGAGCACAGGCTCCAGATGCACAGGCTCAGCGGCCATGGCTCCCGGGCCCAGCCGCTCCGCGGCATGTGGGATCTTCCCAGACCGGGGCACGAACCCGTGTCCCCCGCATCGGCAGGCGGACTCTCAACCACTGCGCCACCAGGGAAGCCCAGAAAACTGTTTTTTATTCTCTGTCAAAGTCCTCCTGCTATTGGGCACATGGTACTCTACTATGTCACCATATACTTTCTACTTTCTTTCACTGTCCCATCTCTTGGTTGCTCTGTACACATCAAGGGCTTCACAGTCTGACTCACAGTCTTCCCCCTTACCTTAGATCCTAGAGTCACCTGAGGAAATTTCAACATGTATGTGAAACATCCACTGAAAACACAGTCTTATGTTTTACTTCCTTATTGCCAATGACCCTTGCACACCATTCTCATTGTCACCTTTACTCAGGTGGATTTTCTGATCTCATGTGGATCTTTAGTTCTACTTGTCTAAACTTGTATTTGATTATGGTCATCTCCTCTTCAGGAACTATTTGAAATCTTTACCCTTCTCTACCTTTTCTTGCCCCTTCTCCCCCAGCAACCTCAATCTCCTCTGACTCTTAGATAATCGTGCCTCCTTCTTCGATGATAAAATTGAAGCCATTTATCATGCACTCTATCACTCCCCCCCATACATACACACATGCACACACACACACACACACACTCAAAACATTTACTTCCTTACCTATTTTTATTCCCTTTCCTCTTGTCCTACAAGATGAGGTTTCTGAGAAAACCATAGCTAGTACCCTCTTCCTTTCCAATTCAAACTTCCTGAAAGGATAATTTCTTCATCTCCCATTTGTTTCCCTTTTTTTCATGTATCCACTAATCCCACTGTAACCTGGCTTTCATGAGAACCACTTTATCAAAAATGCTTTTGTTGAAGTTGTTAGTAACCTCCTAGTTGTCCCTCCCCACAAAAATGGAAAAAATTCATTCACCTTCTTATTGGAATCCTTTGGTTCATTTTTATATTGTTAGTTACTTCCTGCTTCTTAAAGTTCTCTGCTTCTCTGCTTTTATTGCAACGCTCTTTCCTGATTCTCTTCTTGCTTTTGTGACCACTGATTCTCAGTCTCCTTTGTGGGTTTCTCTTTCCCCTTCTAATCCTTAAAAGTTATTCCCTGGGGTCCTGTTTGTAGTCCCTTCTTTTGTCACTCTCCTTGT